TCGCAATTTACGACTTCACTCTCAGAATGTTACGACTTTCTCATAATTTTATGACTTTATTCTCATAATTTTACGACTTTATTCTCGTATTGTTATGACATTATTCTTATAATTTTATTACTTTATTCTCGTAATGTTACGACTTTATTTTCGTAATTCTATGAATTTTTCGTTACGACTTGATTCTAGTAATTTTATGACTTTATCTCGAAAAATAAAAAATCTAGCCTGGCCCTAATACTCCATCGTAGGAAAACAGCTTGAACTTGTGGCGTTGAAATAATGTCTAACTGGGTTTTCTCTGTCGTGCTTTCTCCTGATGTTCTTAGACATTTCAAACCAAAGTATTGATGGAGGAATTCGACTCCAACAGTTCGGTCCAGCCTGGAGGCAGCCATGTCGATTCAGCATCTGGAGCATCTGGATCTGGGAAAACCACGGCCAGGAAAGAACGGCTGAAAAGCAATGTGGCTGTTAAAGCAAAGAAAGCCAAAAAGACCCCACCGTTCCACTTCCAACAGCCCACCTTCAACGGGCCAGGGGAAGACATCGTGTTTTTTGGGATAGATGATTCGACTGATTCTGACGACGTTCCTTGGTCAGAAGACAGTGAAATAGTGTCCAAAGCAAAGTCGCCTAAGAAAAAGAAATCAGTCTCTCAGGAAAAACCTCAGCTGAAAAGGAAACCAGTGAAAAATAAACCTCCTGTTGTGTCCCCGGATCAGGAGAAAGAAAGGAAGAAGCCTCCTGTCCATGCGGCCGAGTCTGAGGACAGGTGGGGACAGCATTTACCAGAGGAGGTGCTGGTCTACATCTTTCAAATGGTGGCTGCTGAAGACGGGGCGGTGCCTTTCCTCTGCAGGTAGGAAACCTCTTTTCCTCCTCCTCTCTGCTGTGGTCTCACTTCTGCTCACAGCTTTTATCTGACATTTTCTCCTTGGTTTGTGCTTCAGGGTCGGACGAGTTTGTCGTCTGTGGAACGCCGCTGCCTCCACCCCGATTCTGTGGAGAAAAGTGACCGTAGGTTACTGTTGGTATCAGCCAGCAAAGAAATTGTTGGCAAAGACGAGAGACAGGATCAAGGAGACCGTGGCCTGGCTGACGGAAAACAGGTGAGAGCTTCTGGAGGACAGCTGATGTTTGAACCAGTTGAGCTCCTCGTTGGAGCTAAAAACCTCACTGTTGTTCTTCTTTAGGTTCTCACAGCTGCGGGATTTTACTCTCTGTCACTGGGCAAAGAATGTTGACTTCACCTTAGAGGTAAATCTGAAACTAAAGGACTTTAAATCTACAACTTAAACTTTTTAAACCCATGAGGAGAAACTTAGGATGGAGTATTAGGGCCGGGCTAGAAATGTTTACATTTTCTTTATTTTGGAAATAAAGTCGGAACATTATGAGAATAAAGTCATCATACAGCAACCCGTTTCAGAAAGAAAGCTTGGAGCTCCGCCCAGCAGATGACGGCCGACCAATCAGCAACCACCAATCAGTCCACTTTGACATCCTGCCCAGTTTGATGCTGCTGCTAAAAGATTTCCTGATTTGTCAAACCGATGCTAAAGTAGAACTTCACATGATGCTCCACATTCCTCACTTTAGGGAAGAAAGGGATTCTGGGAAGAGTTATTTATAAAATACAACTTTATTCTTAATATTGTATTACTTTATTCTTGCTTTTATTCAACTATCAAAATTTTAAGAATTTATTCAGGTAATTTGATGACTCTATTTTTGTAATTATATGACTTCATTCTCGTAATG